AGATACTGCAAAACCTCAACAACAAAAAGACAAATAACCCAATTAAAAAATGGGCAAAGGATATGAACAGGCACTTCACCAAAAAAGACATTCAGACAGCTAACAGACACATGAGGAAATGCTAACGATCATTAGCCATTAGAGAAATGCAAATCAAAACTACAACGACATACCATCTCACCCCAACAAGGCTAGCATTAATCACAAAAACACAAAATACTAAATGTTGGAGAGGTTGTGGAGAGACTGGAACACTTATACATTGCTACTGGGAGTGTAAAATGGTACCACCACTTTGGAAATCGATTTGGCCCTTCCTTAAAAAAGCTAGAAATAGAAGTACCATACGATCCAGTAATCCCGCTCCTTGGAATATATCCTAGAGAAATAACAAACAAACAGATATATGCACACCCATGTTCACTGCAGCACTGTTCACAATAGCAAAAAGATGGAAACAACCTACATGCCCATCAACAGATGAATGGATAAACAAATTATGGTATATTCACACAATGGAATACTACGCAACGATAAAGAACAACGATGAATCCGTGAAATATAACATGGAGGAATCTGGAAGGCATTATGCTGAGTGAATTTTGTCAGTTGCAAAAGGACAAATCTGGTATAAGACCGCTATTATAAAAACTCAAGAAAAGGTTTAAATACAGAAGAAAACATTCTTTGATGGTTACGAGGGTGGGGAGGGTATTCACTAGCTAGATAGTAGACCAGAATTATCTTAAGTGAAGGGAAGGACAACACACACTACAGGGGAAGTCAGCACAACTGGACTAAACCAAAGCTAAGAAGTTTCCTGAATACAATCAAACACTTCGAGGGACAGAGTAGCAGGGGCAGGGTTCTGGGAACAATGTTTTCAGGGGACATCTAGGTCAAGTGGCATAACAAAGTTTATTAAGAAAATGTTCTGCATCCTACTTTGGTGAGTGGCATCTGAGTTCTTAAAAGCTAATGTGCAGGCACCTAAGATGCATCAATTGGTCCCAACTACCTGGAGCAAAGGAGAATGAAGAACACCAAAGACACAAGGAAAGTATTAGCCCAAGAGACAGAAAGG